GAAACGTGTATCTCGGTCTGAAACTATAGAAGACGGAAGACCATGAAGTCGATAAATCTCCCGGAAAAAAAGCACAGCCACCGTCACCGCATCCGTAGTCTTTTTGCAGGGAATGAAGTGAGCCATTTTTGAAAAACGATCCACCACCACAAAAATGGAATCGTGACCACGCTGGGTACGTGGGAGGCCCAAAATAAAATCCATGCTAACATCCGTCCATGGTTGTGTAGGAATAGGTAGTGGTAAATAAAGTCCCGCATTGGAAGCTTTCCCCTTGCCCTGTTGGCAAACCCGACACCTTTCCACAAAGCGCTCTACATCTTTTCGTAGAGATGGCCAAAAGTACGACGTGGTGACCAAATGCAAGGTGCGGTCTCGGCCGACGTGACCCTCACAATGAAGCTCACGAATTATTTGTAACTTTAGACTACACATAGGAACACAAATACGCAGCCCTTTGAAGAGAAAGCCGTCTTGCAACGTGTATTCGGAAGTGAGGTTTTGCTCGACATCGGAGAGGATACGAGCAAAGAAAGGATCAGATTCGTATAGCTCAGCGAAAGTAGAAAAACCAGGCACCGTAGTATGCATTGTTGTTAACAGTCCGTGACGTCTACTCAAGGCATCGGCTACACGGTTTAACTTGCCGGAATGATGACGGATTGAGAAAGTGAATTGTTGCAAGAACGCTATCCAAGTTGCATGTCGGGCAGAGACATTGGCTTGACTATCTAGATGGCGTAGTGCATCATGATCGGTAAACAGAATAAAGTCACGATGTACAAGGTAGTGCCTCCAATGTTTAATGGCCTGAACAATAGCGTAGAATTCGATGTCATAGGTACTATAGCGACTTCTAGCTCCAGCAAGCTTTTTACTATAGTATGCTACCGGACGTCCGTGTTGACTTAGGACAGCTCCAATCCCGAGTTTAGAAGCATCGCAATGGAGTTCAAAGGTGGTTGCAAAATCTGGTAGTATTAAAATCGGAGCTGTTGTCAGCTTTTCCTTGATGAGTTCAAACGACGAGTTTGCTTCTTTGGTCCAAGTGAAGGCACCCGTCTTCATACAACTTGTTATGGGGGCCATTATAGAGCTAAAATGACTTATGAACCGGCGATAAAAAGATGCGAGACCATGGAAACTCCGGACTTCAGTCACTGTACGTGGCGTGGGCCAAGACCGGACTGCTTCGATCTTTGATTTATCAACTGATAGACCCTTGTCTGAGATGACATAACCGAGGAATAAAACTTCGGAAGCACCGAACTCACATTTTTGTTTTCCCGCGAACAGTTTCTCTTTGCGCAAGACTTGGAGAACCTCACGCAAATGATCAGCATGTGCGTCCGCCGAAGAGCTAAAAATGAGAAGGTCATCGAAATAGACCACTACGAACGTGCCAATGAAAGGCCGCAAGGCTTGATTCAATGACCCTCATGAATGTACTTGGAGCATTAGACAACCCAAAAGGCATTACTAGCCATTCAAAAAGTCCTTCTCGGGTTTTAAATGCTGTCTTCCATTCGTCACCCGGGTTAATACGAATTTGATGGTAACCGCTCTTGAGATCAATCTTGGTGAAAATAGTCGCTTGTCCAATTTGGTCCAGTAGGTCATCAAGGCGTGGAATCGGAAAACGGTAGCGAGTTGTGATTTTATTGATGGCTCGGCTATCCACACACATTCGCCAAGAACCATCATTCTTTGGAATTAAGAGCGCGGGAACAGCACATGGACTTAGACTTTCCCGAATATAGCCTTTATGGAGTAACTCTTCTACCTGGCGTCGTAGCTCTTCATGTTCAAGTGGACTCATTCGATAATGAGGACGGTTCGGGAGTGTGGCCCCCGGGATGAGATCGATCTGGTGTTGAATGTCGCGAAGTGGAGGAAGCCCTGGTGGTAACTCACTTGGAAACACATCTGTAAATTCCCGAAGGATCGGCTCAAATTGTGGTGACAACACCGTTGGTCGTTGCTCCTTTGTTCCCGCAAGTAAGAGTGCATAAGCCATGCCCTCTTTACGAAATTCTTGATCAAACATGGAGTAAGAACAGAGGAGTGTCGACTCGGGAGCCATTTCTGGAAAAGTTAAACGGCTATGGACTGATCGTGGTGTATGAGCTTGTGTTGCGTCGGTAATTTTTGGAGGGAAAGACAAACGGCTTTGGACTGATCGCGTGGGAGGAGGTTCAGCTGCTACTGGTTCTCGTGATGGCATGAGTAAGATTTGGTGAGTTTCCCACACGAATCGATATGTGTTTTTCAACCCGTCGTGAGTGATCTTGCGGTCGTATTCCCAAGGTCTTCCTAACAACAAGTGGCAAACATCAATAGGAGCGATATCGCAATACATATGGTCCTTGTAGTAAGGTCCTATGGAGAAAGGCACCATAGAGCGATGAGTGACACGCATATTCACTTTGTCACTAAGCCAACCAATATTGTAAGGAGCAGGATGTGCTTCAACCAGTAGGCCTAATTTTCGAACTGCTTCTTCTGCTATGACGTTGCGCGAGCTGCCGGAGTCTATGATGAAGCTGCAAATGGCGGTACAGAGTCGTCCTTTGATGGTGCAAGTGGAGCGAAAAATGTTAGTCCGTAACCAAGACTCTGTTTTTGCTTCTGGAATGAGACAAGTACGTCCTACTAACAACAATGGTCCGTTATCACCATGTGTATGGTGTAACACAGTGTCATTGTTACTCCGATCTTCTTCTTCAGAGTCATACAGTGGCTCATCATCGTTGGGTTGTTCATCAACAAGGAGGCCGCGTCTTGTCTGTTGTGGGCATGCGGTCTGCCTGTGTCCTGGTTCACCGCAATTAAAACACCGCAGGGCATTGCGACTGGAACGGCGCAAGGCTGGATCCTCTATTTGTTTTGGCGTAGCGGTATCCGTATTCTCTTTTGTTGCAGTCTCCGATTTGGGAGAATTCATCTCTTGAACCCGTCCACGATTGGAGGTAGAGGACCAATTTCCGGAGCGTTGTTGTTGTTCAAAAGAGGCTGCACGACGATGAGCTTTGGCTATGGAGGTTGGATCGAATTGAGGTAGTGAATTCTGGAGTTGACTTCGCAACCCACCGATGAAACGAGACACGAGCTGCACCTCATTGTCATTGATTTCATTCCTAGTGAGTAGGACATAAAACTCCTCAGCATATTCATCTACAGAACGCATCCCTTGTTTCAAATTTTGAAGCCGCGTGTACATGGTGCGGTCGTAATTGTGAGGTAAGAAAGTTTGCCTCAGCTTCTTCTTCAATTTTTCCCAAGAGTCGATCGGTGCTTTATTGTCGCGATTGCGAGAGGCTTTTAGTTGCTGCCACCAAGATGCTGCGTGCCCGCGAAATTTTGTGGCTACGAGAGGTACACGACGATTGTTTGGTACTTGTTTATAATCCAGGACCTCTTCTACGGCGACCAACCAATCTAACAAGGTATCACCTCGCAGTCCTCCGCTGAATTCGGGAATATCAACCTTGAAGCCAGCTTCCCATCGTGAATCACGCTGATCTGGTCTCCTTACGATCAACTCGCGATTGCCATCAGGAGCAAACGGGTTCACTTCTGCGATCTCGTTTCTTTGGTCTCCGGCCTGTTGTCGTGGTTGTAAGTGTTGAGTCAGAGTTTCTCCAAGTTCACGTATCGAGGCTTGAATGGTGGTTTGAATGTTGGACTGCATCGTCTCCTGCAACGCAAGGAGGGTGGATAGGGCGGCTCGCAGTTCAGCCCAATTTGCGGCGGCGATCTCGTCGTCTTTCTTTGGTGGCATGGTCGAGATTTCAACTTTTCAGAAACGTTTTGTCTCTGATACCAACTGATAGAGGGAGCGGAAGCAATTTAAAGAGAGATTAGAAGTGGAAGCTTAGAACAAGGTTAGGTGGAAGGGGGCTCTGTTTTAGTGAAGTCAAAACAGAGTATGGTGAAGGTTGCAACGAAACAGAGATAAACGAGCTCAATGATGAATTGAGATCGAGAAACAAAAGGCGAGAGTCCTCCTCTCAGGGTTCGCACAAAGCAAGCTCTTTAGGTTTTCAAATGAATTCTTAAAGCCAAAGATGATTTGATTACAGGGAAGACGATCTCTTTATATAGAGTCGTGAGATAAAAGCAAATAAAACTGTAAGTGCGGATGAGGTACGATAAATTGTAGAAAGTAAACGAGACAAGAAATTTGTTAACGAGGTTCGGTTTTTCCTACTCCCCGGGACCACGTCCAGATTTCGATTCCACTAGAACAAGAAAGCAAATTACAACCAATTCGCAAACGCGTAAAACAAGCCCAACTCTCTTGATTTACCGCTCCCTTCTATAACGTGAAACCTTAAGGATAATCTCTACCCTTAACTAAACTCCCCTTGAGTCTAGATTTAATCAGGATAACCTAACCCTGAGCTAAACTCCCCTTGAGCCTACACTTCAAAACAAAACCACTTGATCACACAAGCACAAATCCGCAAAACTAAGTTGCACACAATCTCACCGAAAGCTCTCAAAGATTTCTTCTTTATGCCTCAGCTCTCTTGCCTCTCAAAGACGTCCTCAGCTCCTCCTTATATAGCCAAAACGATTTCCTAATCACCATAGGAGAAGATTTCCAATTTCCATAAGAAAAAGTAAATTTCCTTTTATACTTTTCTTTTTTCTCTTCAAACTCCACTTTCATCAAGTCTTCCATATCTCTTTAAGTCCTTTTTCCTTTGTGATTCATCCTCTAAACACGCTCCAAACACATCTTCTCAAACCTTCTAGAAACCGACACTCACACAAAAACAGTCGCATCTTGACATACTTCTTGAATCATTCAGAAACTCCATCAGACAAAATCTTGTTTTACTTCTTGACTCATTCAACAACTTCATCAGACTGCAGCTACATCTTCAATCTCCCCCTTTTTGACTATGTTTGTGAACTCAACAGTTCTAACTCCAAAACAACATCACGAAACACATCATCATTCTCCCCCTGAATGAGTCACAACATGGTCAAAACTACTTAGAAAATTCTCCCCGCTTTGCAACACGAGGTTGATAGCCTAGTACACCACCTCCATAGAAATCATCTTTCCTAACCCAAATCTTCCTGCGCCTTAAGCCTTCATGACTGGATTCTCGAATGAATCTGAAACAATTCCTCTTAATATGCCCTTGAACTCCACAATGATAACATGTAGGACCATGAAATCTCTTATCATAAGCATTCTCCATTCGATTTCTCTCCCTCAATAATCTGAAACACCTTGGCCTAATATGCCCAACAATACCACAATGATGGCAAACAGGTCGAAAAATTCGTTGAGGTGCACTCTGCAGTTCTTTACCTTTTCCTGTATCAGACTCTGTACCAGTTCTCGTAGTAGTTCTTGTACCTGACGCAGTCTCTGCCATAGTTGCAGTTTCTGACACACTTCCTGATCCAGATGTGATTTTTCCACCATAAACAAACACTGGATCTGATTTTGAAAGTTTTCCTTCAAATCCAAGGCCACACTTATCAATCTTGCCAATATTCAGAATATGATCCAACTTCTTTGTGCCATTATTAAGCATCCTCAAATTCTTTTGAGTTTCTTCAAGTTGTACTTTGGCTTGTGATGCTTCTTCTTCTTTTTCTGCAGCATATTTCTGTACTTCAATGACTTTAGCCTCTAACTTGAGTTTCTCCTTAGTTAACATTGAATTCTCCTCAACCATTTTAAGCCAATGCTCATATAAAACTCTGTAATTCTCAGCAAATTCTTCATCATCAATACTCTCTGCATCACTCTCGCATTCATCGTTTTCACTTTTAAGTGCAGGTCCTGTTGGAGATGCTGATGCAGACCCTGTTGCAGATGCTGATGCAGACCCTGTTGCAGACACTGATGCAGACACTAATTCAGAAACTGACGCAGAATCTATATCTGAACTAGAATTGAAAGTTGTCAAAGCCACAAAATTCTTCAGATCTTCTTCTTCTTCATCTGAATCAGTTTCAGAATCACTAGTGACAACATTCATGGCCTTCTTCTTATGCTTTTGTAGATTGGCGCATTCCGAACGAACATATTGGCGCATTCCGAACGAACATGTCCATATCCTTTGCATTCAAAACATTGCACATTCTTTGATGAACTTCTCCTCTCTTTTCCCTTTCGTTTCAGATATTTAGTAAACTGTCTTGACAACATAGCCATTGAATCTTCAGTTTTCAGTTGATGTTCCCTTAAGAGCAACTCCAATGTCAACTTCCTTCTTCACTTCATCTACCTTCTTCATCTTTCCTTTAGTTTCATATGATTTGCTTAACTCAAAAGCTTGAAGAATCCCAACAAACTCATCAAAAGCCATCTCATCTAGATTATGAGCTTCTTCAACTGCAGAAATCTTTGACTCAAATTTTGCAGGTAATGATCTCTTCAACTTCTTCACTAGCTTTTTGTCCTTGTAGACCTTTCCAAGAGCAAACGATTCATTAGATATGTCACATAACTTTGCACTAAAATCAGCCACATTTTCCTCTTCTTCCATCCTTAGATTCTCAAATTGCGAAGCTAACATATCTAATTTCGTTCTCTTAACGCTTGTAGTACCCTCAAACATATTCTCCAATGTCTTCCATGCTTTTTGAGCTGATGCACATTGAGAAATCAACTTAAAGTGGCTTGAATCAATAGCATTGTAAATCGCAGTCTTAGCCTTAGAATTGCAACTTGATAGCTTTTTCTCTGCAGCAGTCCACTTATCTCTTGGCTTGAGACTTACAACTCCATCATCATCCGTAACTTTAGGAGCCTCCCAACCAAGTTCAATTGAATTCCAACAATCTTCATCAAGATTACTAATAAAAGCTTGCATACGAACCTTCCAATATCCATAATTCGCTGAATCAAGAAGTGGTGGTCTTGTCATAGACGTACCTTCCTTGTATGACTCCATCTCACACGATTCTCAGCTCTGTCTTACTTTCTGAATGATCTCCTGAACGATCTTCTGAACGATCTCCTGAACCTCACCCTGATCTACCCGAAACAAGACTAAATCTCTATCGAGAACCCGCTCTGATACCAATTGTAAGTGCGGATGAGGTACGATAAATTGTAGAAAGTAAACGAGACAAGAAATTTGTTAACGAGGTTCGGTTTTTCCTACTCCCCGGGACCACGTCCAGATTTCGATTCCACTAGAACAAGAAAGCAAATTACAACCAATTCGCAAACGCGTAAAACAAGCCCAACCCTCTTGATTTACCGCTCCCTTCTATAACGTGAAACCTTAAGGATAATCTCTACCCTTAACTAAACTCCCCTTGAGTCTAGATTTAATCAGGATAACCTAACCCTGAGCTAAACTCCCCTTGAGCCTACACTTCAAAACAAAACCACTTGATCACACAAGCACAAATCCGCAAAACTAAGTTGCACACAATCTCACCGAAAGCTCTCAAAGATTTCTTCTTTATGCCTCAGCTCTCTTGCCTCTCAAAGACGTCCTCAGCTCCTCCTTATATAGCCAAAACGATTTCCTAATCACCATAGGAGAAGATTTCCAATTTCCATAAGAAAAAGTAAATTTCCTTTTATACTTTTCCTTTTTCTCTTCAAACTCCACTTTCATCAAGTCTTCCAAATCTCTTTAAGTCCTTTTTCCTTTGTGATTCATCCTCTAAACACGCTCCAAACACATCTTCTCAAACCTTCTAGAAACCGACACTCACACAAAAACAGTCGCATCTTGACATACTTCTTGAATCATTCAGAAACTCCATCAGACAAAATCTTGTTTTACTTCTTGACTCATTCAACAACTTCATCAGACTGCAGCTACATCTTCAAAAACTAATCCTAATCCTAAAAGATATTAAGAATATCCTATGATAACAAAACGTAAACGAAGTGATAATGTCTCGAAAACTAAGGAAATGATCTTGTTACAACTGAATATCTTGATGGGCACGAGATACGTTAACGAGGCCCAACAAGTAGTGAAGATGCGCTGCATCAGAACGCATCTTTTTTTTTTTTTTTTAACATATTTGGATCGACAAGGCCCGATCCATAGTCAATTCCTACTACGCGGGGTAACGCGATTTAGTGGAGTCGAACTCCGGTAGGGAAGGCGGAGTCATTTATAAATGACAAATAGTTAAACGGTAGAGGTGCTAACGAGGAGAACAGAGTCACGAGCAGTGATGGCGAGAATGTCTGCGCATGAGACGATGCCTGGGCACATTTTCTCAATCTTAAACTTGATTTTGTCGATCACTTCGAATCCCCTCACAGTCTTATTGCTGGGTCCCGCGGTTTTCTCTCCCAAAAATGACGGTGTGTCGTCCAATAGTATGGATCCGTCACAACTCACACCCCTGTCAAATCATATTGATAGCATTTATTAAATTTTAGGAGTAATTCATGGGAAAATACTAAGACCATACACAGTGGTGTATGTTTTGGTGGGGTGTGAGTATTATTAAAAAGGAAAATAATAAAATAGTGTAACATGAGTGTGAGATAACATTTGGGTGTGAGTATTATTTTAATGTTTTATGTTTTATCTATCTCTTTCTCTCTCCTCTCTCTTTCTCCACTAACCAAATCTCTCTCTCTCTTAAAAAAATTATAATAAATATATTGTTAACACACACCCACCCACATGCACCATTGTGGGTCTCTAAGCATGCTTCCTGGGAAAATACTTATATTTATTTAGACATGATTTTAAATTTGAACAAGAAACATAAATAGTTGTCCACGGGCTAACACAATTACACATAAATATACGGTGGTCATATAACACAATTATCGAAATTAAAAAAATCGGGGTCTGATAAGAAAGAAACTAAAATATTGAGGAACTTTTGTGAACTTTTATAAAAGCGACGATAATTCCATATTTTCCAAGGTTTAAAATTAAGGAGTACTATTTGGGCCATAAATAATTGGGCCTTAACTAAGTGAACCCAATATTAATGGGTATACACCCTCGTCGACCCGACAAACCTCTTTGCCTCCGCCCACGACGGCGACGACCGAATCGCCACCGCCTTCCCTCTCCGACTCTTGACTTTCACCTATTTGCTCCTTTGCTAGACCGATCACCAGACCCATCTCTCTCTCTCTCTCTCTCTCTCTCTCTCTCTCTGAAGCTTTTCCGTCTAGAGTAGAAGGAGATGGGCAAACCCAAAGGAGATGCTGCAAGAAGCAAAGCTCGTCCATCCAGCAGCAGGTGAAATACGTTCCTTCAATCTCTCCTTGGCGTTTAATTTCTTCCAGTTTTATCTTTTTTTGAGTCTATGCTTCGTTGGTTCGGTATTGAATTGAGCTTTCTCTGAACAGCTTGGCAGCTTCTTTGTTGCCGTCTGGCTCTGCAGCCGCCGTAGGTTTTGGCGGGTATGTCGGTAGCTCTAGATTCGAAACGTCTCTGTCAAACGAAGACTCTGCTTCCCTCTTGGTATGTTTGTCCCTCTTCCTTCGATATTGCTTACTTGTTTGTTTGCCAATCTCTAATCTTTTGTGAATGAATTGTAGGATTTGGATAGTGAGGTTGCCCAGCACTTGCAAAGGCTTTCAAGGAAGGATCCTACAACAAAGGTAATGGCTTTACTGATTATCCAATCGACTACCAGAGCTGTTCTTTCTGAGTTTTCTTGATTGTGATTTGCTTGTTTCAACAGATTAAAGCTCTTGCTTCCCTGTCAGAACTGGTTAAGCAGAAGAAAGGAAAGGAACTTTTCCCAATAATCCCACAATGGGTAATGTTTCCCTTGTAACATACTAGGCATGAACCTTTAGATGGATGTTTTCTTTAACAAGGAAGAAATCTGTAGCTTCAGAAGTTGTATTAAGTTTTATGTTCAAGATAGGTTAATCAGGATTGGAATATCACTCACGCTGATAGAATTAGCTCGAGTTAGTCTTGGTCTTGCAGCATATTGATCACTATTTTCCCACGTTGCGGTGCATTTGGTTGCTCATTATTCCACAATTGATTGACTATATTTTTCATACTTCTCCAGACATTTGAGTACAAGAAGCTGATACTGGACTACAATAGAGATGTTCGGCGAGCTACGCATGATGTCATGACTAATGTTGTCACTGGTGCCGGGTTTGACTCTCAATTTTCTAATGCATGCCCTTTTTCTTGCCGTGATGCAGTTTCTCATCTACTTCTTTTTTTTTTAGTATCATACACCTGGATGTATGTAGTTTTCTCGTGTCATGAGTGATATGATTTAGCTTTGAGGTTCTCCTGACATCTATATCAAAATTATCTTCATTATTTTGTTGGAATGATTCGTTTGCTAAGTGCTGTAGAAGCTTGTCTTAGCATGCATGCGATACTTCTATTTTATGCTTTCTCCCACTATTATTTTGTATTCTGTATTAATTCTTTGTTTCTTACGTGTTACTTAGGAGAGATTTAGCTCCTCATCTAAAGTCTATAATGGGGCCCTGGTGGATTTCACAATTTGATTTGGCATCTGAAGTTTCTCAAGCAGCAAAGTCGTCTTTCCAGGTTGGCTCCTCGTTTCGTAATTCAGTTTTCTTGGTGGAGGTTATTTTTACTTTATGTTTAAATGCCCCACTTTCTAGTATAAACTCTATTGTCGTTTTATTAGACCATTAACCTTCTAGTTTTGCTCAGGGGGCGCCTTGTTATAGCATCAATATTCAGAATTTAAATTAGCTGTCTAATGTTCAAACAGGCAGCATTCCCTACCCAGGAAAAGAGATTGCACGCCTTGATTCTATGTTCAGCTGAGATTTTTGCTTATCTGGAGGAAAATCTCAAACTTACACCTCAAAATTTATCTGATAAAGCACTTGCATCAGATGAATTAGAAGAAATGTACCAGCAGGTACTTCATCTCGGTGATTCTTCATGCTATGGTGAAATTTTTCCTTCTTTGGGTTTTCTTTTACAATGTCTTATTTTCTGTTGTTTTCAGATGATATCGTCATCTCTGGTGGGGTTGGCTACACTTCTAGATATTTTGCTCCACAAACCTGATAAAGTTGGCTCTGCAAACATTAATTCTGAATCAAAACTTGCATCGAAGGCTAGGGCAGTAGCAT